GTCCTCCATCCCAACGGAAGTTAGTGGACGAGGCAAGCAGTCAAGTAACTAACTAAATAACTAAATTTTATATTATCTGTGTTGAGCGAGACACGCCAACAAGGCCTGGGCAAATAGGTACAAGCAAAGCTGTAACGATAAAATGTGATCAAATGTTCTCCTGCCATTGGAAAGTGCAAAAAGTGATATAAAGTAGTGATAACTGTTCGACCTTACAGTTGAAACAGATTGTTAATGAAAATGTAAAAATTGTTGTTGATCAATTTGTGTGATACTGGAATTAGTTCCAAGTAAGTGTTATAGCCTGAAGCAGACCTCGTGTGCTGTTACTCGCAGTCAGCTGCTATCCGCCTTCTATCCTGAAGTGTATGGTGCGTTCTGTGGTCGTGTTGGGTTTCAGTCCTGGTCGCTCAGGCGCTGTGTTCGTTGCGTGCGTAATTATCAGAGTGGCTAATTATAGACCGTTCAGTCATTGAAGGATTGTTCCAGTCCAGTGGAAGCATCCGTGGGGAACTTAGAAAGACGCAACGTACTACGCTTCAATGTCCCAGATAAACTTCCGCTGGAAAACTCAAACACCTGTTACTTACTAGCTGCAACTTGTCACCTGACTGTTACACATGTAAGCTTCTGAGGAAGTGGAGCAGCAAAAGAAGCTGCATAATTATCTTTACCTTTCGCAGCCAAGCGCTTGCTGAAAGTTTTTTCATGATAAAACGAGAAATTAGACTACGCCTCAATATCGGGCCGATTTTACTGAAGCCAGAGGAAACGCCTTTACAAAAGGCAACTGTGTTACCAAAAGATGCCAAAAGGCAAGTCAGGTCAAACACGCGAAAGGGCTCTACTGTGGTTGCGACTGCGTGCACTGCTATTAACCCCGCGACACTTCCTAGGGTAGACATTGACTTATCTCCACAGCTTTCAACAAAAGTCCCATCAGTACCAAACGTCATCCAACGAGCATACGAAAGTCAATCTAGGAAAGCAACTGGCCTTACTCATAATGGTTCATGTGAGTCCACGACTTCCACCAAGGGCATAGAAACACTCAAGACTACCTCTAAAGACCAGGAAACTGGTCACGCGAACTTAAGCATGTCTTTGCTTTGTGATCTTGGACATGGTGACACGTAAGTTGAAACTGGAGCTGTGCTGATGATAATATTTCTCGACATGAAGTAAGCCTTTGACCGAGTCCCTTACGCTGGCCTTCTGACCAACCTTAGATCCTCTGGTAGCTTTAACCAACTATTGCTTTGATTCACCTCATACCTTGCTAATTGCACCTAGTCGGTTCGACTAGGATACAAGGATTCAGAACCAAGACCAGTAACCAGTGGAGTATTTCAGGGCAGTGTCCTAAGACCATTGTTGTTCCTCCTCTACATCAACAATATATTTGACTCCTTTTCACAAGGTAAACCGTTTCTATCCGTGAAGCAGTCTGGAGATTCTCTGGTTTGCCGGTGTAAAACTCTGACTAAAATTATTTCATTGTTCACCTAGGCAACCGGTGAGGTTTGTTGAACTGATTGCTGCGTTTGAATGCTTGACATGCTTATCGCCATGCTTGCTTGGTGCTCGTTTCGGTTGCAACATGTGACTGTCCTGTGTACTGTGAATCCTCCGTTCCCTAGCTAGATCGTCAACGGTGTCACTTTTTATAGCTAGGTAACAGGGAGTCGTTTACTGTGCCAATGAAAGTTTCCTTGCAACCCGACCTGTTTTTTCGAATCGCTCTCCAGGCTCGCGATACAGGCTACTCGGTAAATTGCTGACCCCGACTCCGGAAGAATCTCAGAGTCGGATGGTTCAAACTTATTCCGTGAGCTCGTTTCGTTTATTTTTCATACTTTCCGGTTTATTTTTGCATACGGTAGCCTAATTTTGCGTCATTTTTTAAACCACGGAATCTGTAGGCCCTGTGGTAGAGTATCTCTTTAGCGTTGTATCGCTCTGTGCCAACGTTTTGGGACGTGGATACTCTTTTGTGGTTCGCTCACCTTGTGACTGAGTTTTATAAGCACAGAATCACTTCCGACTACGCAACGTGTAGCAAGCTATTATCTTATCTCCGCTGAGATATCAATGCAGGTTCGAGACGTTTTAATGTCTCAGACCGAAAACCGCTATGAGGCTCTCAAGGAGGCCACGATTAAGCGTGTTATGCCCTCTGAGAAAGTTTGCCTGCAGTAGCTTTTCAACGATCTGCAGCTGGGCGACAAACTGCGCACAACCCTGCCATGGGAGATGCAGCAACTCCCTAGTTCCTGAACCATGGGCGAGACTTTGCTTCGCTAACTATGGCTACAGCGGCTACCAGAAAACCCGCAAGCGATTCTTGCCATCGTGAACTCCGTTTCGCTCACTCAACTAGCAGATCTAGCGGACTGAGTTATTGAGCGCTCACAGCCGCAAGCCGACGCCAGCATGATCAATGCCGTAACGTCCCCGGGAACTTCTATCACTAGCTTACAGTCAACTATAAAAGCCCTTCAGACACCAGTTGCAACACTTAGTCGTCAGGTTCAACAGCCTACCAAGAACCGTCGTCGCTATAGCCGAGCAAACTTGCCCTTCAATTGTTCCAAGTCCAGCAGCAGACAGGCCTGCCATTGGCACCATCAGCGCTTCCGTACCACAGCTCGTGCATGTAGCAAACCTTACAACTTTTCCGAGAATCAAAGAAACTTCTCTGCCGGTCAGTAAAGGCGACGGACGCGACCGTCCAATACCAAAGTCGCCTGCTCCGCCTTAGGGGTTTAATTTCCGGCACAGAGTTCCTAGTCGACACGAAAGCCAAAGTTAGCGTTAGACCCCGTAACTCAGATAAGATCGTCTCACGCTCGCCGAACAAGCTGCGTACTGCCGATGGCACGCCAATCGTAACGTTCGGCGAAAGGTAGCTAACGCTGAAATTAAATAAATAAATAAATAAATACTTTATTCTCGACTATGCGAGGCACGCCCATGGAGGCATGATCAGATATGTACAACTGTACAAACATTTTATGGCAATTGTGACAGTAACAGTAGAAAATTGGTCGTATGTCCATGATAATATAAATAAATAGATAGTTTATTCTCAGTTTCATAGAGACGCACCAACTTAGGCATGATCAAGGTTTAAAACTGTTGTGTATCACGATGATACATCGGGTTCAATCGTGTGTAGTTGAAACGGTGTCGGGAAGAGTTGATATGTGAATCTAGTCGACTTGCCAGTATGTAGTTGTGGGCTGTGACTTTATTCAGTGGCGAGTCACATCCGCCACGTCGCAGTGTTGTTAAACAGACATTTGTGGCTTTTTATAGGGAGAACGCTTGCCAGGCGAAAACCCACCACGTCCTGCAACACTGCCGTAAAGCATTTTGAACATTAATGTTGAACTGGCAAAGCCGCTTGACGACTGGTTTCACCTTCGGTTTTTCGCGGGGTAATGGCTTCTAATTTCCTCTGTTAGTTGGACGGGTATTTTGATCTGGGTCGCCATGATTTTTGAGGTCGGTGGAGGAGAGGGACATCGCGATTTTTCTTCTTGTTGTATGTCCAGGTGAGCAAAAGGTTCAATTTTTCCACTGTCCAGATTTTTCAGATGTATAATGTATGGGAGTATGAGGATATGTC